TTTTCTCTGAAGACGTTTCGCTTCTCACTCAAGAAGCTTCTTCAGCTCTGACTGGATGGTGGGGAAGGGAAGGATTTATACTCCTTGCAGACAGCTGGTCATTCGCATCCTTTTAGAGAGTCGTTGAGGCCATTTGGAGGTTTTATCTGTGTCCTCAGGGTCACCCGAGTGGTGCAAATGGGTGTGGCACCTTCTTGGCTACTGGATGTTTTCCACCCTGGGTCCCTTCACTGTTGAAGACAGGCGCAAGGCTGTTGGGGATGAGCCTGTGTTGTCTGCATCTCAAATTGAAGCTCAAATGGTTCCTGGAGTCTGCGATGTTTTCTGGAAATACATTCATGCTTCTGCACCATTCGAAGGGGGTTCATCCCAAAGTGCAAAGCTAAGCGTCTGTGAAAATTCTCAGTCCTGGTTGTCCCAAAGGTGCTCCGCACACATTTGCACAATTCAGATGACCCTGGGGACACAGGTAAATCTCCAAATGGTCCCAATGACTCTTTAAAGGAATGCAAATGACTAGCTGTCTGCAAGGAGTATAAATCCTTCCATTCCCCCATCATCCAGTCAGAGCTGAAGAAGCTTCTTGGATGAGAAGCGAAACATCTTCAAAGAAAAAACAAGAAAGTCCAGTTGTCTCCTGAAGAAAAAAAAACACCTCTGGGACAACCCTGATGACTGGATGACTGAGAATCTCCATAGAAACTGGTTTCGGATATTTTGATGCTTCAAGTTGACTGATTGAGCTAAAAACCCTTGGCTTAACATCAGTGTTGGTGCACTTCCAAGTACAACAGAGCTTAAGAGAGAGATGTACCCGTTTTTGCTTATGCAATGCAAGCATTGCAAAATTATTGTGCTGTCCATATTGTCCCACTCAGCATACCTACAGGCATACGTGATGAACAGAGACGTGGCATTCATTTATTTGGTTCCTGGTTAAAAAAAAGCTCACACTTGCAATACAACCATGGCTGTGTTCTATATCAGGGATCCCCAACCCCTGGGCTGTGCACTGGCACCAGGTCCTGGCACAACAGCAACTGGGCCACGCAAACAAATGAAGGCCCATCCGCTGGATGTAGGCAGCACACAAAACCATGCAGTCTCTGGTCCATGGACAAACTTTTCTCCACGGAACCAGTCCTTGGTGTGCAAAAGGTTGGGTGCCTCTGTTCTACATAGTATCTTTTGCCACTAAACCACTAGATATTTTTAATTATTTTCTTTAAGGTTGTGCTAATACTTCCCAAGCTGGAAATCCTCAATTTTCCTGCTGACTCACTTTGACCACTATTTAGTGGTACACCAATTGAATCCATCTCTGGCCAGGAGAACCTGATCAGTGTCACTTATGCCCTTGTGGTTCCCCTTCCAGACTATTTCAATATTTGAGCACAGGTTTTAATTCTTAGTGCTTGTGTCTCTCCAAGCTCAATGGAACTGCATCTATATGGAGGAAAGTATACAGTGTGGCACCACAAGGCTCTTTCAAGGAGCTGGGTGTGACCTTGAAAGCATTTCCTAGCATGAGCTTGTGTTATTTGTGGGACTGCCTCTTCCCAATTAAACCTGCCCCTCCCATCAGATCCAGCAGAAGAGGCATATTGTGGGCCCTGTCGGCTAAGGAGCTACATCTGGTGGGACCCAGGAGGACGGACTTTCCTGCCATGGTGCCCACCTTATAGAACATCAACCCCTCTGAAGCCACGTTGGCTCCATCCTTCTTTTTAACTTCAATGCTTTATAGTGGTTTCGCCACTCAGAGACGTATTTTGAAAGATGACTGGAGGGGCTTTCGGTTGTCAGGCTAAAACTAAGGACAACCCAAAGCAATTCAGACAGAATTCAGTTCTCTGTTTGCTTACACACAATGCAGAGGATCTTTCCCGACTGAACCCTCCTTTCTCTCATCCTAATGGATACACCCTGGGGGATTCCAGGGATTGGTTATCCGAATTCTCTTCCTCTGTCTCATATATAGTTCAGGGCTGGGCTGCCTCTTTGCCCTACAAACACACACACACACACACACACACACACACACACACACAACAGACACACAGACAAACAGACACACACACAGAGACACGCAAACATTTTTTGGAATGTCCTCTCTCCTTTCTGGGAAAGAAGGACTATGTCATTGTAGTTGACCACCCCAGGCCCCTGTCAGGCTTCTAGCTTTCCAAAGTTCTGGAGGAGAAGAGGGGAAAATTTTGAATCCACAGGTGCTCCTTATCAACATGAGAGCTGAAGAGACGTTTTGGGAACTAAAGTTTGTTCTCAAAACAATTGCTAGAAGATACATTGGACAATGTGACCTGAACTGTCAGAGAGCGGAGGGAAGGTTTTACTCTTTTAATCATCTGCTTCCCGCCATAGTTTCAGAGTTAGCTTTCCTTCAAACTTGACGGATTGTTTCATTCCTAATAAAGCTCACACTGCAGTTCATCACGTCAAGCCAAGCCGTGATTCAACAGGGATTGGACCTAATCCTGCTCATCCCAGCATCACTGCCTGACGGATCATGGAGGGAGATTCACTAATGGTGGATTTTGTGAGAGGGATGTTCAGTTTTGAGCGGGGAAATTCGAAAAATGAAAACACTGGAATTGAATGCTGATGTTTATTTGATTCTCAAACTACAGAACTAGCAGAAAGAAGCTTGTGGAACAAGGGAAAAGGGGAAGAGGGTGAAGGGTGTCAAGGAAAACAGAAAGGGGATTATGGACCATCCTGTGGTAAAAGCCAGAAGCGTCAATCTTCAAGGAAGGTCCATGATGGATGAGATCAAAACTCCAGGAAATTAGCCTCTTTTGGAGCTAAAAGTTGCACTTGTTTGTCTCGCAACAGGTAAGTGTCGAAGTCCGAGTGCAATTTGTAGTACATCCCTTTTCGATCTTCGTTACTGTGAAGGAAACACAAAGCAGAATGATTATTTTAAAAAATGCCAAAGAACAGATCTGGGGCTGTGGCTGAACAAAATGGTAAGCCCACTTTTAAGACATTGGTGGATTCCCCTCCCAGTGGAAAGACAAACCTCCTTTCTTCTCTAGGGAATACTCAGGAGTAAATAAATAAAAAAAGATATATCTGGGGGAAAGTCCCATGTTCTGACATGACTCGGGGGCAATGCCCTCCCTCCTGGATATTTAATGCGCGAGATCTAATTTCCCTCAATTTCAGAACAAACCCCCAGTCCTGCCCCTTTCCCTCCACCCCTTTCTCTAAAGAAGAGGGAGTCAAGCTCTTCTCCAAAGCGCCTGAAGGCAGGACAAGAAGCGACGGATGGAAACTAATCAAGGAGAGAAGCAACTTAGAACTAAGGAGAAACTTCCTGACAGTTAGAACAATTAACCAGTGGAACTACCTGCCTCCAGAAGCGGTGAATGCTCCAACACTGGAGGTCTTTAAAAAGGGACTGGACAGCCGTTTGTCTGAAATGGTATAGGGTTTCCTGCCTGAGCAGGGGGTTGGACTAGATGACCTCCATGTTCCCTTCCAACTTTATTATTATCATCATCATCATCATCATCATCACCATCATTATTTTCTCCCCCCCCCAGTCTGTGCTGTTGCTGGGACAGATGGGGCTCCCCACTCCAAGCCCCCCTTTCCTTGCCCCCCTTAGATTGTCTGGCCACAGGTCGTGACCTCAGGGGCAGAGCACAGACAGGCCCTACACGACCTCCAACTCCCAGGTGCATTTGGGAGCCCTAGTTTGGGTTCGAGAAGAAAAGCTGTGAGAAAAGATAAGGACTGTGCTTACCAGGAATTAAACCAAGCGAGAGAGTTTTATTTTTAAAGCATTGATCAAGACCTTCTGGACACGGCTTAGGATCAAAACAGAATAGTCCTTTGCATGAAAAACATTCCAGGGAGTATCCTAGATGAGCGAAATGAAACATAGAAACCTTAGTTGGATATTTACTTTTCTGATCCTGCCATCTTATTATGTATTAGATGATAAATCATTTAATAGCAAAGCCAGCAGTGAAAATATCCCTGCGAAGATCAAATGCTCTAGAAACTAGGAGAGACGGCTAAGAAAAGGGAACATTTTTATTATTATTACTATTATTATTATTATTATTATTATTATTATCTCAAAAATTCCATTTCGGTATTGAACAGTGTGTTGTCTAGGTATACAAGTATTAGAATATAATAATCATCACATTCATAATAATAATGTTATCAAAATACAATCATATACTAGGAAATAGCAATCACATTGTTAAAAATAGTATTTCCCCCATTAACATTAATTGTGTAACGATCAAAGTATTTACCAATCCATTATAAATCTTCCTCACATAATCCACATTTTCTCATATTTCCAACTTTCTAACCTGTTTTTATCAGGTAACCATTGGTAAAATAAACCCCACGTCATATAGAATTCAGTTTCTTTTTTTTCTTTAATTTTTAACATTAACCTATCCAGTATTTTTTTCAATTATATTCTCCTCTGTAGGGTTTTTTTTTTTTTTCATTTTTCCAAAATTGTGCATACTCTTGACTTGAAGGAAGCAGCCCTGATCCCCTTTGGCTGCACCATCCAAAGCCAGAAATAGACAGATGGAGGGTTAAGAAAAGGGGAGATTTTTCATCCTACTCCCAGGAGTAATTCTAAGGGCAGAATTCACTACCCAACGGAGCCTCTCCTTTCAGAGGCAGTCTACCCCAGAATGCCAGCCTGGAAGAGCCTCTGTCTCTGCTATGGGCTTCTCTCCAAATGGAGAGCAACTCCTCTCCCCTCAAGGCTCCCATGGACCCTCCTGATGCAGAGCAAAAGAGAAAACCCCACCAACAAAATGGACCACAACTGCCTCCAATACCATACCTCCCTCTGCACCCCCCCTTTTTTGTCTGATTGTCACCCAAGATCAAAGCTTGACAGCCTTACCTGGCTCCAGGTACACGAATGCCACCACCCCCAGGATCAACAGCAGAGTTTTCATCTTGCAATCTCCTCTTCAGCCACCAAAGTGTAGCCCAGGAGGGCAGCGGGCGCTTATTTATACCCCACTGAGAGGACGTCCTTTGGGGGGCTGGATATCTAGGATCAAGAGAGAAGAACAGGGAGATTCAGGAGAAAAGGGGGAGGGCAGGGGTGTGGACTTCCCCCCCCCCCAACACCAAAACGGAAACCGGATCCGACCAGGTGATGAACCAAGCGGTCCGGGTTTTGAAGGCAAACATGACCGTTCTGTGTGCAAAACCTGGGCACCTGGACAAGTGGCATCTCTTCCTGTATTTGTACAAGATTATACAACCTTTACATAATGCACAATTTAAAAAAAATCCCTCTGCAAAGTTCAGGGCCTTCTTCTTCTTATTTTTTATTTGTGCTTTGATTCACCAACTGGGCAACCTCTCTGCATCTTCTAACCCTCTCAGGTGGCGACTGTGGATCTGCCTTCATTCAAGGAACATGGCCTCCTTGGAGCAGATCTGAGCATGAGGGTTTCTTTCCAAAACTACCCTGTGGACTAAGGGATTCACATGATCCAAAAGTCAGGATAAACAAGGAAGATGGACACAGGGTTGGTGAGACACGGCAGAAGGGTTTCTGGTACAAAAGTAGCAGCAGGAACAGCAGGACAGATAATTCCAGGGGTGGCCTTGAATCATAAGTCAACAATTCCTGCAAAGAAAAGCTCCTTTCACTCAAGAGAGTAAAACCACACATTCTTTAAACCTTTGGGTGTCCAGAACGGAATGTTCTTGTCACCCACAAAAACTCTTTGTCCTTGATAGGTGTTCATAAAGAAGATCTTCAGGGATTCAAGCCTGGCTTTTATTGTGCCCTACAGGGGCTCAATCCCTTGATTCAGATGAATTTTCAACTAGAGGTCAAGACATTCTCGTCAGAGAATTATAAAAGGATTGTTGGAAACTTAACTTGGAATTTTTTGATGTCCTACACCAAAGAGGAAGTGAGAAGTTCAATTGGGGGTCCCAGAAAATCTTTCATCGAGGGATAACAGACTTCTCACTTCTAGAGCTGTGAGAAAACACAGAGAACCAGGGAAAATATCAGCTAACCGGAGGCATCAAAATACACATTGGAAGAAGGCAGTTGAATAGATTTATTTATTTTAAAAAATTATGTGACCACCAACTCACTCTCCGTGACATGGAACAGCTTACAAAGATTCTGTTTAAATCAGAAAAGGAGGACTAGGGATAATATGATAATCAGAAGAATTAATTAGTGGAACGGCTTCTCTCCAGAAGTGTTGGGTGATCCATCACTGGAAGTATTTAAAGAAGAGATTGGACAGCCATTTTCTGAAATGGCATAGGTCTCCTGCTGGTGCAGGGGTTAGACTAGAAGACCTCCAAGATCCCTTCTAAATTCTCTTTTATTTAAGGTAAAACAAAGAATAGAGTAGAGTAGAGTAGAGTAGAGTAGAATAGAATAGAATAGAATAAAATACAGTAGAGTAGAGTAGAGTAGAGTAGAATAGAATAGAATAGAATAGAATAGAATAGAATAGAATAGAATAGAATAGAATAGAATAGAATAGAAGTTGGAAGGGACCTGGGAGGTCTTCCAGTCCAGCCCCCTGCTCAAGCAGGAGCATAGATCGTGCTATTTGGGCCATGTGTTTCCTCTGATATGTTCCTATTCCATTTGTACATTTTCTGGATGCGCCAGAGAAGAGATCTACTCCATGATTAATTTTCTACCATCTGGATTCCAAAAGAATACCTTCCTTGCCTACAACCCCAGCCTGTCCTGCAGATATCATGAAAAGATTCTCAACAACAGTCCTTTGCTACTGACCAATCCATGTTTGGGACCTGTTACCCTGTCCAGAAGACTTGCATATGGAGCAGGATCTAATAGGAGAAAACACCCAAGTCCCCAAAGCCAACATTTGCAGGGGGTCTGAAGGCCTTTTAGAGACACCGAAGTGCATCAAATTCACGTGGAGTCCAAGAGAAGATTCTCTCTTTCCTAAATTCCAGGTAGTTCCACAAATTTCCCTAGGAAGGGGTGTGGCCGATGGATTTTGGCACCGTGCTGCCCAGTCAGAGTGGTGGGATCCCTCCATCGGCACACCCTGAAGACTTGCAAATGGAATAGGAACAGATCAGAGGAAACGTGGAGTCCAAATCAGTAGATTTACGATCTCTGCCTCTCAGGCAATTCTTCCTTCTATTCCCTCCAGCCTCCTCCCTTGCTGGGTCCCAAAAGGGATCATCCCAGAGTCACCATTTGACGTTTTAATAGGATCCATTTAGCTGAAATATCTTGGCTCAGAATGAGGGGGAAGAACTCCGAGCCTGTGTTTCTTGGGGTGCTTCTAAGTATGAGGGAACTCGAAAGAGAAATGTCAACTATTCCTTCATTGGGCAGCTACACCATTCCATTGTTTGCCCCCCCCCCAGGAATAAACATGCTTAACAGATATCTTATGATCTTTCTCCAGATTAAACGCAACGTTAATAACATTTCTCCTTCGCTCCCTGTTTGTTCTGACCCAAATTGGATCTACGGACTGCCTTCTTCCTGTGTATATTCTGAGGTCTCAAGTTGGCTGATTCAATTAACATGCCTTGGCTCAGAATTACATAGAAGAACTTTGAGCAAAAGCTTTAATTCTCAGACTTTCACTAGCATCAAGGATAATTGGGGCTTAAAAAAGGAACTTTGGCTACTGATTGAAGAAAAACTTTGCACTTATTAGACAGCAATTTTTGACGGTTATCGTTGTGCCCAAAAGGAGAATGAGTCTCCACCTACTCAAATTCCATTATGTCCCCCACCTCACTATTTTTCTCTCTGTTGTCTTCCTGTGCCAATAACTGATTCAACTAATAATCCTTGGCTAAATACATCGGGGCTTAAGACAGATCTGCAACGGTCTTTGCTTATGCAATGCAAACATTGGACACTGTGCAAAATTATTGTCCTGTCCCTCTTAGCATGCCTAGGGGCATAAGCTGTGAACAGAGACGTGGCATTCCCTCGTTTGGTTCCTCATTAAAAAAAGTTCACAATTGCAAAACCACCACGCTCATATTCGAGATAGTATCTTTTCAGGCTAATCTGCTGAGTATTTTTAATTTTATTTTTCTTCCTGTTAAATCCATCATGCACGCCCTATCCTTCATGCAGGAGACCACTCATTCTGGATCCATAAACTGTTTTTCACTCTCTTTCCATTTTCATCTTTGAAAGACCGCAGGATATAATGAGCTATGTTTAGCTGAAATATCTTGGCTCAGAATGAGAGGGTTGAGAGCCTCCGTTTCTTGGGGTCCTTCTAAGTACAAGGGAACTTGAAAGAGAGACATCAACTAATTGATTTGGCAGCTACAATAGTCCACTGTCCCCCCCCCCCAAGAATAACCATGCTTAACAGATATGTGGAGATCTCTCTCTGAAGTAAATGCAAAGTGTCATATCTATCATCCTTCTCTCACTTCTATGCTCTGATTAGATGTAATATACTACTATACAGAAGGGAGTTTGGAGTAGATTAAAGTAAGCAAGAAACAAAAAGAATAGAACAGAACAGAACAGAACAGAACAGAATAGAATAGAATAGAATAGAGCTGGAAGGGACCTTGGAGGTCTTCTAGTCCAACCCCCTGTTCAAGCAGGAGAACCTATACCATCTCAGGAAAATGAATGTCCAGTCTCCTCTTAAAAATATCCAGTGATGGAGCACCCATGATTTCTGGAGGCAAGCTGTTCCACTGGTTGATTGTCCTCACTGTTAGGAAGTTTCTCCTTAATTCCTGGTTACTTCTCTCTTTGGTCAGTTTCCAACCATTGTTTCTTGTCTTGTCCTCTGGTGCTTTGGTGAATACCTTGCCCGCCTCTTCTTTGTGGCAGCCCCTCAAATACCGGAACGCTGCTATCATGTCACCCCTGTTTCTTCTTTTCTTTAGACTAGCCAAACCCATGTTCTGCAGCCGTTCTTCAGGCATTTTAGTCTCCAGGCCTTTTTTTTTAATTGAAAACGTTTTATTAACAATTAACAAAAAATTTTAACCCCCAAACCCACCCACCCCCACCCCCTAGCCCCCCCACTTCCCAGAGCTGAGTACAGGGTTATTACAAACATATTAAACAAAATCTAATTAACTTTAACAAATTATACAGTGACCAAATTCATACTTAACCCTTAACTCCCTTTAAACTTTACCATCATAATATTATAAACAAATCCATTTTAAAACAATTATTATAAAGTACCATAATAACAATAAATAAACTAAATAATTTCCATTATAAAATGCTATTAATCATAATAATAATTATTTAAAATTTAATCATAAAATAAATGGAACTTTTTAGTTCTATATTTAATCTGAATATAATCTATCCACCTTCTCCATACAATAATATATCTTTCTTGTGTATGATCCTTTAAATAAGCAGAAATTTTTTGCCATTTCTGCTAAATTAGAAACCTTAAGTGTCCATTCTTCTATAGTAGGCAACGAATCTTTCTTCCAATATTGACCTACCAATAACCTTGCTGCTGTTATTAAATTCAACATTAGAATAGTTTCTTTAACATCAAAATCCACAAAAATCCCTAGTAAAAATAGTTGAGGAGTAAACTTTATCTTCCTTTTAAAAATCTTTTGAATGTTCCACCAAATCATAATCCAAAAAGCTTTAATATTTTTACAAGTCCACCAAACAAAAATAAGTTGCGTCAGAACTACCGCATCTCCAACATTTAGGCTATAAATTAGGATACATACAAGACAACTTTTTAGGATCCAAATGCCACCTATAAAACATTTTGTAAAAATTTCCCTTAAATTTTGAGCCTGTGTAAATTTAACAATTCTAATCCAAATTATCTCCCATAAATCCAATGGGATCGGTTCCTGGATACTCTGAGCCCATTTAACCATACAATCTTTAACCAAATCCACTTCCAAGTCCAATTCTATTAACACATTATAAATTCTTTTTATGTGGGCTTGATTCTGATCTTTACTCTGAATTACCAAATTTTCATCTCCTAGTGTTATTCCAACTTTCTTATCTAAAGTCCACCTATCCACTATTTGTAAATACTGAAACCATGACTGTAAAATATTTTCTTGCCTTAATACATCTAAAGATTTTAATCGCCAGTCAGTACCTGACCAAATAAATAATTCTTTATACGAAATTTTTTCAAAATTCATCCCCTTTTTTATGTACAAAATCTTGGAATGCACAGAAATGAATAAACTTACGTTAGAATTAAAAGACAAGGAGGCAACAGAATTTTATGAAATTTGGAATAAATGTTATAATTGGCTAGAACAGAGAAAGGAAAAGACATAATTATTGATGTACATAAAATGTAAATAAGATGTAAAGAATGCTTAAAATATATAGTACTGTTCTGTTAAAAGAAAAGGTTTATGTTTATGTATTTTAAGTTTGTTTGGGTGTATGGTGTATGGTGAAAAATAATAATAAAAAAAGAAATCCCCTCAATTGCATGTCCAGGAATCCCCCAAATAGGTATTTTGTAATTTAACCTGTAATAATACTTCTTCCAGACTCGAAGTAAGGCATTTCTTAAAATATGCAATTTAAAAGCCCGATCTACTTTCTTATTGAAAATTAAATATGCATGCCAACCATATAATAAATCCCACCCTTCAAGAGAAAGAATATTTTTGTTTGTTAAATTAAGCCAATCGCTTATCAAAGTTAATGTGGCTGCATCATAATATAATTTCAAATTAGGTGCTATAAGCCCTCCTCTTTCCCGAGCATCTTGCAAAATCTTAAACTTCACCCTTGGTTTCTTCCCAGCCCAAATAAATTTATTGATACCCTTCTGCCACTCATCCAAATTAACATCTTTTTTTAAAAATGGGTATCATTTGAAACAAAAAAAGAAACTTTGGTAGAACATTCATTTTTACAGCTGAAATTCTCCCCAACGACAGTTGTAATTTTTTCCAATCATTTAAATCCTTTTGTACTTTTGTCCATAATAATTCATAATTATAATTATTTTGGGGCTTTGGTTTCACTGATTTAATCAGCTTAAAATTTGACGGAAGAGCTTCGAAGAAGTATTTTAATGCTCCTTCTGGATGTACCTCCGAGTATAACTGAGATTAAGAGAGATGTGTACTTTTCTCCACCGATTAAAGGTAGAGTTGGCACACCTTGAGCATAAATCTTTTGTCTTCCTCTTGCAATTGTTGCTATGCCCAGAGGCATAACTGAAAAGAATAGAGACGTAGCCTCTCTCTCTTGCTTAGAAGGAAAATAGCATAGCCTATATTGATTTATCCAAAACTAGAGGGTTATTTCAATATCAATTGATATAATAATTATAATCATAAAGTTAGAAGGGAGCTTGGAGGTCATCTAGTCCAACCTCCTGCTCAGGCAGGACTTGTTGGATTAGTTTTCATAGGTGAACCATCAAGTAACTTGTTACCAAACAGATTCCACCACAACTCTCAATACCTCCATTTCTTCTTTACTATGATTATATAACATCATTTCTGATTTTTCGCAGTTTATTTGCAATCCACTATATTTCCCAAATTCGTTCAAATGTGAATAGATCCTCTCTATAGTAGCTATGGGATTTTGAAATGTTAGCAATGTATCATCTGCAAATAATTTTTTTTATGTACACCAATTCCTTCAACCAATGAATCTTTCCTAATTGCATTTGCCAAAACCTCCATCAATAGTACAAATAAAATTGGGGATAAGGGGTAACCCTGTCTCATTCCCTGGCTTAAGGTTATTATCTCTTATAATTCAAGGCTTGATTTATGGTCAAGAAGTCACTTTAGCAAATTTGTATGCACCTAATACAAATCAAAGAGAGTTTTATGATAGGGTATAAAAAGAAATAGAAGAAATAAAAAAGGTTATGTGATATTGGCAGGTAATTATAATATGGTTATGGATATAGGAATTGATCAATCTAATCCATCAAAAGTGGAAATAAAGTATAATAATACAGATTTAAGAAAATTTATTAATAGAAGTAGATTAAAAGATGTTTGGAGAGAATTACATGGCAATCAAAAGAGTTATACATATTTTTTTTCTAGTAGACATAAAAACTTTACAAGAATAGATTACATATTTGTCACATCGGAAATATTATCTAAAATAATGAAAGCAGAGATAAAAATAATTAAAATATCAAATCATGCAATGGTAACTATGGAAATGGAAATAGATTGTGATTATAAACAGGCAAGTAGATGGAGAATGGATTCGAGGATTTTTAAAAATAAAGAGATTTTAGAGAAAATGGAAAGAGAATTAAAAGACATATGGACGATAAATGAAGAAGGAGGTAGTAATATAGGTGTAATATGGGATGTAATGAAAGCAGGAGTAAGAGGTTTAGGGATAAAATATTCTTATAATATAAAAAAACAAAAAGAGAAACAGATAAAAAGGTTGGAGGAAGAAATTAAAGAACCAGACAGTAAATATATAGAAAGCAGAGAGAATAGAATTATGTTGGAATTATCAGCTAAAAGAAAAGAGTAGCAAAATATTGAGTTAGAACAGGTTCAAAGAAATCTAATTTATTTAAATAGGGCATTTTATGAAAATAGCAATAAAAATTCTAGAATGTTGGCTAGAGCCACACAAGTTAAAAAGGCAAAAAGCCTGATTGGAGTAATAAAGAACGAAAAGGGAGAAAGATGTAACAGGATGAGAGAAAAATGGTTGATATTTCAGAAGTTTTTCGAAAAGTTATATAAGGGAAAGGAAATAAATTTGAATGAAATTTATTCTATATATTCTATGAAGGGTATAGGGCAGTGGTTCTCAACCTGTGGGTCGGGACCCCATTTGGGGTCGAATGACCATTTCACGGGGGTCGCCAAACAACGCAGTCCGCCATTTTTTCCCCTTTTCCTTAGCTGTGCTACTCCCTTTTATTCTATTGGTTTTTGAAAGCCAATAGAATAGACTCTCTTGAATAGAATCTAATTCTATTGGCTTTCCAAAGCCAATAGGAATTGTCCAGGCTGTCTCTGCCCTGCTGAGCCCGCCAAAAGTCCCATTCCTCAAACGGTGCTGCACCAGTTGAGTAGTCCTCGACTTACGGTCGGTTGGGGGTCGCGGCATTAAAAAGGTTGAGAACCACTGGTATAAGGTTTTCTGCCTGAGCAGAGGGTTTGACTAGATGACCTCCAAGGTCCCTTCCAACTTTACTATTATTATTATATAGAAAAGAATTTAAATTAAATTCAAGAATACGATAAAGAAATAATGGAATCACAAATAGAAGAGGAGGAGATACTGGAAGTTATTAATAAATTGAAAATAGGTAAAGCACCAGGGTTAGATGGACTAGGCGCAGAATATTATAAAAATGTTAAAGGATTATTGGTGCTGAAGATGAGGTTAATGTTTAATAAAATAATGGAAGGGAAAATTATTCCAAGTTCCTGGAAGCAATCTCTGATAGTGAAACCTAATAAAGATCTTACAAACCCAGGATCGTATTATAGACCAATATCCCTTTAAGGTAGAATAATGTGGAATAATAATAATGATAATGAAAAATCACTAAGATAATGATGTGTCTGCATAATTACTGGAGTAATGCTGTGTTAGCAATACGTGACTAACCCAATGCGCATCACACTTGGAAACAATGCATGTAGCAAAACTCTCTTCATTGTATGCCTGTGAGAAACTAACCTAACGTAATACAATGTAGATTTCTATGTGTGTTCCTTTGTTCCTGAGAAAAGAAAGTATAAAACTGAACCCTGAACCCACCCTCGGGGTTCACAATTGCTGTTGCTATTGCTTCTGAACCTGCGCAAATAAATCTCTTTGCTAAAAACCCTCTGGAATTCGTAAGAGTCCTTCGTTTTCCACAAGATTTATGGCGACTCCGCCGGGACTTTTAGGAAGAGGCCGTTGACTTTCCAGATGGACTGCCCTGGTGGGGAGCCCCTCTCCTAATGACGACTTCTCCAAGCCGGCTCCGTGGCCTTTGTCTACGGGGAGACCTCGACGGGAAGGGAGGGGAACTCACCCGTCAGCGAAGCACTCCAGTCACGGATCCGCCGAGGGTAGCAGACAGGTCTTTAATCCCGGGAAGGATCTGGAACGCCTGCAGACAAGTATTGTAAAAGGGGATACCTGATCCCGTTTGGATCAGAAGAGGGGATTGATCACCCCCTAGAAGACAAGGCGGCATCCTTAAGTCATCAGGACGCTAAGATTTTTACAGCAATATTGACAAAGAGATTGAATACATTTATAGAGAATTATATTAAAAACCATCAGTGTGGATTTATAAGAGGTCGACAAATGTCAGATGTAGTAAGAAGGTATTAAATTTAGGCTATTACTTAAAGAATCAAAAATTAAAGGCTGGTTTGTTAGCACTAGATGTTTTAAAGTCCTTTGATTGTGTGGAATGGCCTACATTGAAAATATTAATAGAGAAATTAGGCTTTGGAAAATTTTTTAGTAAGGTGATAAATCAACTGTACTCAGAGAACAAGGCAAGAATAGTCATAAATTTCATAGAAAGCTTATTAAGTCTGTCTCTGCCCCTACATTTCTCCTGGCCTTTTCTGAACGCTCAAAATATTTCCCTGACTGCCTTTTCCTTACCTACATTTTGGGGCTTCAGTTTCACTGATTTAATCAGCTTAAAAATTGACGCAAGAGCTTCGAAGAAGTATCTTAATGTTCTTTCTGAATGTACCTCCGAGTATAACTGAGATTAAGAGAGATGTGTCCTTTTCTCCACCAATTAAAGGCAGATCATAAATCTTTTGTCTTCCTCTTGCAATTGTCGCTATGCCCAGAGGCATAACTGAAAAGAATAGAGACGTAGCCTCTCTCTCTTGCTTAGAAGGAAAATAGCATAGCCTATATTGGTTTATCCAAAACTAGAGGGTTATTTCAATATCAATTGATATAATAATTATAATCATAAAGTTAGAAGGGAGCTTGGAGGTCATCTAGTCCAACCTCCTGCTCAGGCAGGACTTGTTGGATTAGTTTTCTTTTTTTTATTTATTTTATTTTATTTTTAACCAACAAAACAAAACAAAACAAAGCAAAACATAACACACATACACCCACAGTATATACTCTTCCCCCCCTTTTTAACAGCGATTACGTAATGGTAATCTTCTATTATTTACATTTCCCCTCTTATTCTTCTTTAGAATATTTGTCCTTATTGCCCCGTTATTTCTTATTTACATTTTTCTTCCTTCATACTATACTTCATACTAAGAGTAATACATATTATTATTATTATACATTATTATACACACATTTTCACTTTTGACCTTTCCACATTTATCCTCCTCTATTATTTCTGGTCTCCAACCAATCATACCACTTGTTCCATATTAGATAGTACTCTGTGTCTTCCTTTTCTTTTATCTCTTTTGTTAATTTGTCTATCTCAGCACAGTCCAGGATTTTTCTTATCACTTCTTCCTCTGAAGGTATATTCTCATTTTTCCAGAACTGTGCGTATGCTATTCTTGCTGCCGTTGTTATATGTAAAATTAAGTACCATATTTCTTTACTATATTTTCTGTTTAAAATACCCAGCAAAAAGATCTCTGGTTTCCAGTCTATGGGTTGGTCTATTATTTCTTCGATCCATCTTCTTGTAGTCCAGTATTATTTCGCAACTGGGCATGTCCACCATAAATGATAATATGTTCCATGTACTTTTTTACATTTCCAGCATGTTGGTGAATTGTTCTGGAACATCTTGGCAAGCTTTGCTGGTGGAAGATGCCATCTGTAAAACATCTTCAACTGGCTTTCCTTGAATGCCGTTGACATAGTCAATTTTATGTTTATTTCCCATATTTTTTCCCATTTCTCCAATTCTATATTATATCCGAATTTTTTTGCCCATCTAATCATTATGTCTTCGACAACCTCATCTTCCATTTTATATCTCAATAGGTATTTGTATAAATTGCTAATTAATTTTATTTCTGTTCCATGTATAATTTTATCCAATTCTTGTGGCTCTTTTTGTATTTCATATAATTTTTTGTCCTCTGTATATTTAGATTGTATTTGTGTAAATGTCCACCAGTCAATCTCTCTGCCAATATCTTGTTCCAATTTTTTTTTTGTTTTCAGATTTCCCTGTTCAGTTACTAATTCCTTGTATCTAATTATCTTATTTATATCCAGTAGGTTTGGGTATTTCAGAGCTTCTGTTGGGGATAACCACATTGGAATTCTTATATAATGTTTTTGTTTTATTTTTTCCCAAGTCTGTAGCAATGCATTCCTAACTACGTGTCTTTGAAAGTATCTGTGTATTTTATGTTTTTCATCCCATAGGAATGCATGCCACCCTGCTTGCAAGTCATGTCCTTCTATTGTTAAAACTCTAGTATTTTTCAAATCCATCCAATCTTTTAGCCAAGTTAGGCTCGATGCTTGGTAGTATATTTCCCACTCTGGTAATGCCAACCCCCCTTTATCTTTCGTATCTTGCAAGAGTTTTAATTTAATCCTGGGTTTTTTCCTTTGCCATATAAATTTAGTGATCAATTTATTTAATTCTTGAAAGAATGTTTTCCTTAATTTTATTGGAATAACCTGGAACAGAAATAATATTTTTGGCAATACATTCTGACCAAAGAGAGAAGCAACCTGGAATTAAGGAGAAACTTCCAAACAGCGAGGACAATCAACCAGTGGAACAGAAGTTGCCTCCAGAAATCGTGGGCGCTCCATCACTGGATATTTTTAAGAGGAGACTGGACATTCACCTGCCTGAGATGATATAGGGCACAGGTCAGCAACCTGCTTCTCCGGAGCCGCATGTGGCTCTTTGAGCCTTCCCCTGTGGCTCCCAGCCTCCTCTGCCATTTGCAGAGAGAGACAGAGACACAGAGAGGCACTTGCACTTCCCTGCTTCTCTCTCTGTCTCTCTCTGTGTTTGTGTTTGTGTGTGTGTGTGTATATATATAAGAGTGTAGACTCATGGTGTTCTCCGACAAGCTGAAAAGCTTTTGGGGTGGGGCTCCTCCCTTTGCTGTGTCTCTGCAGGAAGCAGGAAGGGCAGGAGAGAGCTAGCTAGGCCAGCTATGCTGACTCAGGAATTCTGGGAATTGAAGTCCACGAGTCATAAAAAAGCCGAGGTTGCCTACCCCTGAGCTTGTTGGAGAACAGCTTGAAGCCAGCTTGCCAGGTGAGCAGAAGATTAGAGGGGGGGAGAGAAAGAGAGAGAGAGAAAAGAGAGAGAGAGAGAGAGAGAGAAAGAGAGAGGGATAGAGAGAGAGGGAGGAAGAGAGAGAGAGAGAGAGAGGAAAGAGAGAGAGAGAGAAAGAAAGAGAGTGGGAGAAGAGGACTGGCAGACCAAGGGCAGAAAGAGAGGGAGGGAGGGAGAGAGAGAACACTCTAAAATGAAGATAACACTGCATATATCCTTTTTACTATTCTATTCTATTCTATTCTATTCTATTCTATTCTATTCTATTCTATTCTATTCTATTCTATTCTATTCTATTCTATTCTATTCTGTTTCTTGCTTGCAAGTTCCCCTTTTTATCTACCCCGAACTCCCTTCTCCCTGTAGTATATTACATCTAATCAGAGCATAGAAGTGAGAGAAGGATGATAGATAGGACACTTTGCATTTACTTCAGAGAGAGATCTCTACATATCTGTTAAGCATGGTTATTCTTTTTTGGGTGGGGGGAAACAGTGGACTATTGTAGCTGCCAAATCAATTAGTTGATGTCTCTCTTTCAAGTTCCCTTGTACTTAGAAGGACCCCAAGAAACGGAGGCTCTCAACCCTCTCATTCTGAGCCAAGATATTTCAGCTAAACACAGCTCATTACATCCTGCGGTCTTTCAAAGATGAAAATGGAAAGAGAGTGAAAAACAGTTTATGGATCCAGAATGAGTGGTCTTGTCAGAATCCAATTATATTTCATCTTTAAATTATCAAATATAGAAACTCCCAATTCTGCCTTCTCTGGATTCTGCCATAAGAGGGAGAGAAGGGGGAGAACAAAGGGGTTTTATGGCCCTCACTTCCTTCTTTACACTTCAAAGAGCGGAATGCTGAATGTGTGTTTATTGTAACCTCGAAGCGTTAGCATACCAAAGGAGGGTAGTTGCCTTTCATGTAGTTATCTGAAGTCCCCATCCAGACGGAAGAAAGAAGAAAGGGGGCGGAATTGTGATACTTGAAACTATCACTGGAAGGGGGGTTGATTGGGTGGGACTACTGGGGAACCCCTTAAAACCTTGAATGGAAGAGCTTGAACCCCAAGTCCTGTCTAGCATGCCTGCAACCATTTTCTCTTAATAAAGGATTCCTGTTGGAAGAATTATTCCAAGAGTTCTGTCTTCTTAAGATGCAAAGTGGGGTGGGTCCTTACATTAGACAGGACTTGCAAAATTAATCCACCTGGAAGGGAGACCCTTGCCGGGGGATTTTGCAAAAAATTTACCATGTCAGACAATGGAGAAAGAGAGGGGGAAAACTCCCTGGAAAGAGAGCCGCTGACCCAGTTGGAACCTTGCCAGATGTTGGGATCTGAGAGGTCAGATTCCTCGGGAGAAGAAGTGGTGGAGACACAGGACCACAAGCCTCGCTGGTCGATGAACGTTGGAAAGAAAAGTGAGTGGAGAAAGGAATCAAGAAAGGTGACCCTGAGACGGGGGACCAAGCAACCAGAATGGAAGCAGGAGATGGAGAAATCCCTGCACGCAAGTGAAGAGGGAGGAAGCTGGGTACGTACTCAGACTGGATCCTAGAGAAAGCTATTGACCTGATGAAGAGAACTCTCAGCTCCCTAGGAGAGGAGAATACTGAGCCCTACGGCCGCCCCAGTTCCTGGAGCCACAAAGGGAGAGACACCGAGGGGGACGTGGAACCTGCAACCCCAGGGACATCTACTGATCCAGAGCCACCCCCTACCGGACCACAGATGGCAATCTGGACGGAAGACACTACCACCCACAACGGAGGCACCGATCCATTCCAAGACGTCCACCGTTGGAGGTGAAATTCAAAGGGGAGCCAACACGCTTGGGGTTTTTCCTAACCCAAGTCCTCAGCTACATGGAGGAATATGGGCAGGACATTCCCAGCGACAAAGCCCGCATCCGGATCGTGCAATCTGCCCTGGATGGACCAGCTGCGGATTGGGTAGTGAACTTGCATGACTCCAATGCCCCAGAACTCAGTAACTTCAACCGTTTCATGTCCTCTTTGAGAAGACGATTTGAAGACCCCCTGGCCGATCGCAAAGCCCGTGAAAGAATAACAACGATGAGGCAAGGCAAACGCCCAGTGGCTGAGTATACACAAGAATTCCGGGCCATTGCCAGCAAACTGAATTGGCCAGAAGACATCCTCCTTGGCCATTTCAAAGACGGACTAAACTATGATCTATATGATGCTTGCCTGCCCCGAGGGGACCCACATCGACTTGAGGAATGGTACGTCTTGGCAGAGGAAGCAGAGATCGACATATTGAAGAGGCACCGCCGAAGAAAACATGGAGCCGCCCCCCGCCTGAGCTGACACACCAACCGGTGAAATCATCGGATACAGCCAAGAAGCAATGGGGTGTTTCAAGTGCGGAAGAGAAGGGCATCGAGCTGTAGAATGCCGCTCAAAGGCCCCCCAGCACAACCCAGACAGATCCCCAATCAACAAACCCAGAGGGTATTCAGCTAAGCCAAAAGAAACAGCCATGAAAATGATGGAAATTGCAGAAACCCCCACC